GCTCACCTGGTTAAAAGAAGGAAGCCTGGAAATGAAGGCAGTAGCAGCGATGGAAGCACGAACACGGCAAGAACAGCTAGAGCACGCAGAGAGAAGACGAAGAATATGAAAAAGTGTAAGTGAATGATTCAAGAGTAGAAAAGTTGTTTTGTGAAAAGGGACTGAGAAGAGGCGGCAAAAAGAGGCGGGACTGTTCAAAATGCACGAAGTACGAAAGACGGCGTGACAGCCGTCCTCAGCCTATCAGAATCTGCCACGTGTCATTGGAAGGGGAAGTGTTACAGTCGCTGTGATTGAAGAGACGTTTTGACCGGACATAGTGAAGCCCGAAGTAAAAATTAGCTCGGTTGGAGAGCCCGAGGGTTTTTCGCTCGGCTGGAGAGGATAAAGGGTTTTTAGCTCGGCTGGAAAGGCTTAATAAAACTCTAGCTCGGCCAGTGGACTGGTAATCCCAATCACGCTGTGCGGATGGAATTAAGGGGCAATTGAGAGGGTGATTTTTTGGGAAAAATTGGGCCGAGCTGGGAGTTGGGCCATGCGGCCCAAAGTATGAAAGAATTGGTAAGAAGCCGTAGTGTTATTTCGGCCCCAGTAGAGGTATAGATACTCCGGCCCAGGAGAAGTGAAGTTATTCCGGCCCAGGAGAAGTCAAGTTATTCCGGCCCAGGAAGGGTGCGGTTACTTCGGTTCAAGAATGTGCAACGCTACTCCGGTCTGGAGTCAACTAGAGTTAGTCCGGTCTCGGAATTAATCCGGTCGCAGATGTATTGTGGTTAGATCGGCCAGAGCTTGCTACTCAGAAGCTTGGTCTAAACACATCATGGTTGAACGGGGGAAAGCCGAGATGAGTTGGAGGAGAGAACCGAGCTAAGGATAGTTCGGTCTTCTCTGTGGCTCTGCATAGCCAAGCTTATTTTGGTCAAGTTGTAGTTCGGCCATAGTGAAGACCATCCCACTTGGTTTAAGCAGTGGGGGAGGGTGTAAAAGGATAAGCATTATCCTTTAGGAGTATAAATCCTAGGAGGACTCTGCATGGAGAAATACAAGTCCTACTAGGATTGTGCCATATGAAACTTATAAAAGCTCACAAACATCACCTTGGAGGAGGTAATTGAACACAATCTTTCTAAGAATTTAGAGCTTTGTCTATTTGTCAAGTTTTCTAACTTAGGCATCGGAGAGGTTTCCGGCACACACCCGCCGGCTAGCTCACGTTTGTGTTTTCAGGTGACAAAGCGACGTCGTACGGAGGAGCGTGGATTTGGTCAACAGGATTATACGAGGAGAATTATTTCCTCCCCGTACAATAAAAATTGGTCATTCATTCTACCTCGTTTGCTATTAAACAAGGAAACTTATATATCATCTGTCGGTAAGGCTATTATCAAATATGGTATTAACACTCTTATTGAAAAATAATAATAATAAGTACGAGCTAATATGCTTAGGGTTCGTTTGGGAAGTGGATTGGCTTTTTAGCTTTTTGACTTTTTTGACTATTTTAGCTTGAGGCTAAAAAGCCTCGTTTGGAAATAGCTTTTGACTTTTTTGTGAAAGAAAAAATGTAACGATTTTGGATTGGATGTGATATTTTATCTTATTGTTTTTTTTTTTGTGACTAAAATAGCTAAAAAAGCCTCAAACTTGGCTTCCCAAACGAAGCCTTAATTGGAATTTCTCATCATCCCATTAGAGTCGTCTCATTTGCGGAACATTTTATTCCTACAGTCGATGCAAGTTCTATATCATCACTACTCTCCTCTGTATAAAATCCGGGTTGTCTAGGACAAGGTAGCATTGCACTCCCATTATCCAACATTGGCACCATAGATGACATTGTCGGCCTATCTTCGGGATGTTGTTACACACACAAGAGACCAATTTGTACACATTTTAATACTTCTAACGTCAGCATTGCTGAAGTTTCCAACTTTTCATCTACTATCTGGATGGCATTCCCTTCAATCCATGGTTTCCATGCCTAAGAGAGCACATTTATATCAGATATCAATAATGGAAGAAAATTCCAAAAATGAAGAGAACAGACTCAAGTAAAAACTTACATGTCCAAGCAGGTTGTGAGTATGGTTAGGATGTCAGAACTTTCTGTTCCTCTATCCACTCACTATTTCTAAAACAAGTACTCCGAAACTAAAAACATATGATTTCATTAAAAATAGCCCACGTAATACATACTCTGGGGACATATAACCACTGCATGCCATAATCAAATTAATAAATCAATAAAGAAGTTGGTGAAACTTGAAGTTGGGTAAGTACATGCAAGAAATCTTTTGGGTACTTACGAAGTTCCAATCACCCTTCTCGTTTTCTTGTATACTTGATCTCCTCCAAAAGCTCTAGCAATGCCGAAGCTTGAAATTTTGGGATTCATCTCATTGTCTAGTAGCACATTGCTAGCCAATGAATAATTATCAGTCTTGAATCTCGATGACGGTAGAGAAGCCCTCGAGCAATCCCCACAATAATATCGAAGCGTTTCCTCCATTCAAGAGAGTTGCTTTTTGTTGTATCTAGGACATAGATCAAGAAAGGCATTTGTATAGAATATTAGTTTTCTATTCAATAGTTGACATAATGGTGGACAAGTTTGAGTAGTGTGTAGTTCGGTTTCGACATTCAACTGAAGAAGTTAGAAGAAAGGTCGAAGGATCAAACCAAAAATAAAGGAGCTCAAGCTGCCGTTGGGCAAATACTCGTAGATCAACATCCTCTCTTCTCCTTGAATGCAACATCCCAAAAGCCTAACAAGATTTCGATGATGAAGCTTGGCAATAAAGATACCTTGTAAACTAGTCCGAACCCACCTTCAATCTTATCATAAACAGAAAAATTTTTTGTAGCATTTGCAATTGTGACTATATTGAAAATGGGTAAGTCTATGTTTTCATCATCTTTGAATGGAATGTTTGGCTGTGAACCTGTCGATCACAACAAATGAGAAGATCAGGAAACAAACAAAATTGAAACTTGGTTATATTTGTGTCCACATATGACTATCATATGGCATTAAATTCCACAATACCCCGATGCATAAATTTTACAGGGGAATTTGGTATTTAAAGTACAGAAGAGGAACAGAAAAAATGGTAAATATGGAGAGGGGGGAGGGGGGAACAACTTAACAAGAGCATTAACTTTTTAAGTGCTCCTCGCATATCAATCTAGATAAAGGAGTTAGTAAAAGTATGCACAAAATACCCTTGTTATGTTTTTATTCAATGTAAAGTGTTGGATTATCAATTGTTACAAAAGCATAAGCTGTTATAAAAATGGTCTGCCATTATATATCTAGCTATCTTAACACCATTCATCAACAACATATCTCCAGCCTATTTTAATACCTTTTCTCAAGTGCAGCCCTATCTTTCTCACTGTCTTCCAACCTATAGGCAAACAGACAACTAACCAAGTTCAAACAAACCTTGTCTTGCACATCTAGGAGCAAACAAACAACAAATTCACAGCCTTCCCCGGAACTAGAGTGCCAACACCAAGTCAGATAACCAATTATCCCAAAACTTTAGTTGTAAACAGATCTCATCTTGCATATCTAGGTGAAAACATACAACAAACCAAAAGCCATCCCCAGATCTAGAGCTATAATACCAAGTTAGATCGCCAAATATCCCAAAACTTAAGATGAAAGGAAATAGACCCAACAACATTGTTAAACTATCTTACCATAATGGACCAATGATATATTAGGATTAAGAAAATCCAAGCCACTGAAATGTCATCTTTGATGTAGTCCAATGGGATCAAACTTTAAGTCAACAAAAGGATAAACTCTTAATAAGAAACTCTAATGAAACAAACACAGGTTATTCCAATTAACTTGTTGGTAGACTCATGGTTTGACATATTTCTAGTTCAGAGAAACTTAAGTCTCCACCGCACCTAACAAAGCTAAGCTGTTTTGGTGTGCAATGTGTGGACTTGTGTTTGTATTTTTATATGATCCTGTAATAATACAAGATTCATTAAGAATAAGTCAAATATTGACTCTTTATTATATAACATTTTCAGTATTCACTATTGAGATAATACTCAAAAATATCACTTAACACACCGGGGACGGTTTTATGTCATATAATTTAATTCTAAATCATGCTTTCATTTGTTGTTGCCTTCTGTTTTATTTATTTATTTATAGTTCTATTCATTGAAATAACATTGACTACGAAATCTTTAGTTACTATAAATTCCACATAAAGTTAGCTTTCAACAAAATTAAGGAATTTTAGATTTACCTCATGTTTGTTTTATCCTCTTCCATATGACACAAGAAGCAAGAAGGAACGACAACAAAGCCACTGAGACGGGGATAATCACCAACAGGAGCTTCTTCTTCTCCTCCTCCTCGGAATCTAATCTAGACTCTACAGACAACCATCCAGTGAGAATTATATAGATAAAAATTTAAGAGAAAAATCGCGTAGTTTACATGATTGGCCAAATTTATGTAGCCTAATGAATTATTAAACACAAATCACAAGAAACATACCGAGGTCTGCAGCTGTAACCCGAATATACAAAGTTTGATCGCCAGGATTTGCAAATCTTTTAATATCAATCAGATCCCCATACCAAATCAAGCATCCACTTGCCCCTCCAGTAGTATCAGGGTTAGCATCAGCAGTACAAGAACAATTCGTTAAACACTCCAATTCACATTCTTTAAGTGTCATACTGGTGTTCAGCGAAAACTCTTAACAAATCAGGGACGATCATACCTTTGAATGCCACAAATCCTTCTCCATCCAAGCAGTTTAATGGGTATTTGCGAATGCACCCACCATTCCAAACCATCGTATTCCAATCTTGCGATGATTTATGAATGTATCCATCCAAACAACTACATATGAATGCATTAGAGATTGTGCAAATAGAATTTGGACCGCACTGGCCATATCTTTCGCATGGATTACTAGGTACTGTATTAATGACAACCCACTCAAGGTTCCTATTGTTCCATATCACACATTGCATTGTCCTGTGTAATTCAAAACCAGCCCTGTTATCTGTTCATCTAGATCAAACTTGAAATACACCTCCTCTGAATTATCGATGAAATTAGCATTGAAGATAGAGTTTTGAGGCTCGACACCATTAAACTGCAGCCTGTTCGATATCCCAGTTCGGTACTGCTTAACAGACCCTTTACTTATAACACCTTGTGGAAGACCATCAAGATCGAACAGATAAGAGATATCTCTGGGAGAAGGGCCATCTGCGCTCTTCCACGATGTCAATTACCGGTCAACCGACTCTCAAATCCCATCCCAGCTTCATACCAGCTATCAGTGTATCTGAAGGATGATCAAAGCTTTGCCAAATATAACTTTCTGTGTTCCCACCATTTTCACTTCTCAAAACAAGATTTCCAGAGTCTAAGAGCAGTGCAGCAGTGGGTTTTGATGATAGATTCTGGATACTGGTAGACCAAGCAACTATTCCTCCGCTGCCAAGAAGGATCAAATTTCCATCCTCCCCAATCTTTAGACCACCCGAAGAATCATTAAGCGGTCTGTCTCTGTTCGCCACCCAAACAATGGTTTGAACTGGGATATTGTTACACCATATCCCCAAGTATCGGCTCATCGAATTGTTTGTACTGAAGAAGCCTAACTTGAAATCTCCTCTAGCAGATACTAATGCCCCACTGTCATTGATAGGCTGGTATTGATTTAGCATGTCATCAGCTAAAACAAAAGCAGACAAGTAATATGAAATAGCAAAAAGAATGATTCCCATGATCATTTTGCAAAAATCATGATGACGCTATCATGTGTATTCTTTTTCCTCACCTAATTTACAATGTTCAGAGAACTGGCAAACGAAATCAATGGAAGTTGTATACTGCTAGTTCTATAAAGAAAAATAAGTATATATGGGTTACTAAAATAAGTATACTGCTACTTCTAGAGAAATTTGATAAAGCAATTGAGATGTTACTAAAATAGTTTGTTATGTGTTTTCCGATTTCAACAGTTCCATTATTTCCAATTTCTTTAAGCTGACACTGTAGAGGCCCAAATAAAATATAAAAATGTGGTGGTGGAAAATTATTTGAGAGGGTTGCTCACTTTCGGTGGGAAAATGTTTAAGAAAAAAAAAGGAGATTGCAGAGAAAAGGTGGTGTGGTCTACAAAAAAAAACTTCTGATTTAGAAAGAGTGAGATCGTGGAGTGGTGGAGATGGGATCTGGATCTGGAACTGGAAGCTTCCTCAAGGTCGTTGCTAACAACTTCGATGTTCTTGTTGGGCCCGTGGTTAGCCTTGTTTATCCTCTGTATGCCTCAATTAGGGCGATTGAGACCAAGTCACCCGAAGACAATAGGCAATGGCTTACTTACTGGATCCTGTATTCTATGATCACCCTCTTTGAGCTTACCTTTGCCAAACTCATTGAATGGATCCCTTTCTGGTCATATACAAAGCTGCTAGTAACCTGCTGGTTGGTCATACCGTACGTCAGCGGTGCTGCATATGTTTATGAGCATTATGTGAGGCCTTTCTTTCTTAACCCACAGCAGACTGTTAACGTCTGGTATGTCCCAAGGAAGAAGGACATCTTCAGTAAGCCAGCCAGATGACATTCTAACTGCTGCTGAGAAATACATGGAAGAACATGGTCCGGAAGCCTTTGAGAAGATCGTTAGCAAGGATAGGGAAACCAAGTTCAGGAGCAGCAATTATACATATTTTGATGAGGACCACATATATTGAGCTTTGTTTGGTTGAGGGAAACACCTTTTTTCCGCTGCTGTTAGGAGTATCTTTCCGGTGGAGACCTTGGTTTGCTCGGGTTCTTAGCCGGCATGATGATATTGCAAAAGGAACCCCTACTTTGGGAGTAGGAACACCTGAAAATTCAGTTACACCTCTTGTGAATGTGAATCATGAGGATGATGAGTCAAAAGATGATTTTGGCCAGCTAGCACACAGGTCATCAAGGGATACTATGTATGAACGCTCTCTCTATGGGTGGAAAGGATCTTGGGAATGACACTATGGAAGTGGTATCTCCTTTTAACATGTTCTTGAGGCCATAGTAAAGAGTTTGGTGAGAGCAACATTTTGATCGGTGGATATCAAAATCTGGCAAAATCGAAAATTTGAATTTTTTCTTGTTTCCTGTTCTAACTTGAGGTAGGGATTTTTTCTACACTTCTTTATGCACTTTTACTTGATTATATGGAACTTAGAGTTGTATATAATTTAATTAGAATTTTTAGAAAATTCGTGATTTATTTGCTTAAAAGGAAAATTTTGAGAAAAATAAAGAGTTGATACCCAAATTGCGAAAGTGTAAACTTGGATTATGTTTGTAAGATTATGAAAGAGCTATGTTTTAAATTTGAACAAAAACAAACTTCGATTTGATCGATTTTGAAATTTTTACCGTTTTGCGACCAATAGAGCATTTTTAAAGAAAACAAAGGAATTACGTTTAAATTTTGGGACTTTTGATCAAAATAGGATGTCATAGTTAAATAATGCTGGGAGAATGAGTTTGGAAAGAAAATGATGTTTTCTTGGGCATTAACGGTATTATTTTGTTTAATGTATCTGTTGGAATAAAACCGACACGGTTAGAAATGGACCTTGAGAGGTTACCGGACGTGATTGTGATATGAAAACCAGTGTAGTTGTTCATATTTGATGAGATAGGAAATAGATTGTATTTATCGAAATTTTTTTTGGAATTTAATTATTTAAATATCTGTTTAGAAATATCTGTTTGGGCTATCGGTGGAGGATAGCCATGATTGTTGTCGAAATGCATGAGACTTAGGTAAATTGAACCACATTCCTTATTTGTTGCATTGGACATTGCATTACATTCATTTCATTGGAAATGTATCTGTTTTTTAGAAATGTTTGGAAATATATCTATTTGCGAAAAGATGAATACTTGGTAAATCTGGGTAGGGGGTGTGGAACCGCGCGGTTAAGTGCCGAGCCTTTCAGTTTACAGGTACAAATGACAGTGGTAGTGCATTAGGGCCTACTTTCAAACACTCACCTAGAGATTGACAGCGCCCGTATTCATGTAACAGATATGGTTTAAAATAGAAATGGTTTTATATTTGTTGTTGCATCTCAGCATTGCATGCTTTATGAAAAAAGAGATAAACTGTTTTATCATGAGCATAGCATGAGCATACTCCTCTTTAGTCTTGTCATTGTTCATATGTTGTGCAGTATATCTCTATTGGGCTGTGACTCACCCTATAAGGGAAATCATTTCAGGTACAGGTACTATACCTCCGCCAAGGCATTGATTTGGGAGGACTCGGAGCTGAGGCTTCATTTTTGTTTTATTGTTATTGTTGAATGTAAGCCCAGGGCTGTATTTGTGTTGAGTTAAAACTCTATTTTGTGTAACCAAGAATGTTATTGGATAATTTGTAAGCCTGTAGGGCACTTATTATCTGTTTGGCTTCCATTTCATACTTGTTGTAAAATGCATCCTTGGGATTAGAACTGAGGCATTGAGATGTGAATATCATGTATTTGGCATTTGGGGATTTAATGGAAATGGATGTATGGAATAGTTAGCTATATATATGTGTTTGTCTATCAGGTGGGTTTTGTTGCATAAATAGATATATCATGCCCAATTTTCAGGGCGTTACAGACACTTGACTTTGTAATTAAATATTGGAGTTTCTTAGAAGATTCTAATCCACATCAGCTCATAAGCATACATTAACCATTTCTGTCTAAAAAATAGGACCCCAAAATAATTTCAATCTTAAGTTAAATTTGCTTAAATATTTCGGTCTTAAGTTATGTTTGATTTATTGAAATAATGTTGAATGGAATAATCATTCCAACATAATGCCCATCCTCACATTTGATTTACTAAAAAATCATAAAAAAAATATTATAAATGAAATCATCATTCACCATTGTGAAGGGAATAATCATTCTAGAAAGAGACTAAAGAATAGTCATATCATTCAATTCAATTTCATTTTAGTGAACTGAACCTACATTATAGTATTAATAGTTTAAAAATGAATGTTTAGAGAATTTAAGAGAAATAGAAAATCAAATGAATTGGTGAATTATTTAAAAGAAATGGATGGATGGTTGTTTGCTAAATGTATGAATTATTTATAGTATATTGTTTGACTATACCAGCTGCAATTGTTTTTGGAGAAATATTTTTTTTTTTAAAGTTAAAATTGATTAAATTTTACAATTCAATCTATTACATCAGGAAAAAGTATGAATAAATTAATAATATTCAAAATTTCTCTCAATAATTATGATTTATATCAATCTCAATAACTATGATTTATGTCAACTATAAAAATCATATGAAATTGCTCAGGAAATATAATATTGTAATTATTGTGAAAAACAAATTATAAACAATTTACTTACTAATACTTTTAAAATTAGATTTCTCACTTAATATTTTAAGTGATTTTCATGAGTGAAAAAATAGTAATTTTATTATTTATATATACAACAAATTTTGTGTAGGTACAAACAAAAAAATATAATTTAATTGAAAATTACTAATATTTTATCAACATATATTTTTAAATTACGTATAAGAGCTGGCCCATTTCCTGAGTTCACCTTGGGCCCTAAAAAGTGAGGCCAGTTCTAACATTGATTAATACAAGTGGAATTATTCCACAAAATGACAAATAATACCAGGTTATGGGGTAAACAATATGTGCTTGTTTCTTTGTAGGAGAAAATGGGAAATGGGAGGTGGAGAACATGTTGCTCTCACACCTATTGTAATCATGTGTTTGATTGCCAGATAAGGAGGACGATTGGAAGTGGGGAAATATGCAGATCTCACACCTATTTTTAACCCACGTTTGTCTTACTTTTGTAATACCATAGGTATTGTGGCATTGGGGATATTAAACTTTGTTTTATCTCATTCTAATCAAATATAATACCTCCCTCCCTACATCCAATTATTTATCCATCTATTAATTTCTTAAGAAAAAAGGACCTCTTGAGATAGAAGTCTAAGGGCTGGTTTGGGGTGTTCTAAAAAAGTGCACTTTTTGTCTTTTTGGACTAAAAAAGACAAAAAAAAAATATGGAGGTTTGGGTTAACTTTTTGACTTTTTATGAAAAAATGTGTATTAAAAAATTATATAAAAAAAGTGTGTAAGAGATGATAAGAGAGGAGTGGGCCCCAGCTGTACAAGTTAGAAATATTTCCAAACTCTAACAATACAAGTGAAAACATATGTGTGGAAATGAATTTAATTTAGTTTGTATTGAAACTTGTCAGCTCATTTGACCAAGAAGCTAGCAAAAGATTATAAATAGTCCAAATAATTCTGAGGAATAAAGAAATTGGACTTACTGTGAGGCCCCTGACTTTTTTTTGTAAACCTTATTAGATCCCTAAATTTTGAATTATTATAATAAAGCCCTTAGTTCGTCGATTAATCGCAAATTAAGCCCTAGGACTGAAAACGCATCACGGGCGAATCCATACAAACCCTAATCGATCCTGGAAGCTTAGAAATCACTTATAACACTCTAATATTAATTACTTAACTCTCAAATTTTAGATTAATCGCTCTAAACCTTAACTTTCGATTTTTACAGTCATCGTTCGGTTATTTACCTTTAAGAACAACGGTGTGTGTAAAAACCACACCCAATCATTTCTTTTTCCTCCACTGCCGCACACAGCACTGCCGCACACATCAATTCGGTGAATAGTGATTTTGAAGAAAATTGATTTTTTAAATTTTTTT